CATCAGTTATTATCTTCCTCTGGAGCACATAGGCCGTGTGTTTAACAAATCTGGTTCCTCCAGTGCTTTCTCTGAATTGTGTCTCCTACACAACCCAAGTATCTTTTTGTTTGTTCTGTTTTTCAAGACAGGTGTTCTGTTTTTCAAGCTTCCCTGTATAGCCCTGGCTGTCCTGAATCTCACTCTGCAAACCAGGCTGGCCTCAGACTTACAGAGATCCACCTGCCTCTTCCTTGCAAGTGCTGGGATTGAAGATACGGGCACTACTGCCCAGCCAAACCCAAGTATTTTTAAATTGAATATCTATAATTTTTATATTTAAACAAAGAATTCCTTGACCAAAAAAAAAAAAAATGTTAGCAAATGCTGTTCTTAAATTAAGACACTAGGTGGAGCATGAGAGTTTTGGATAATCTGAGTTTGTAGTTACTCATGAGAACAAGCTACTTGCCTCAAGAAAACAGAAAAATAAAATCAATTTAATTTTGTTGATTTTAACTAAAAGTAGAGAAACATAACACTTTTATAAGTTTATCTAATGTCTAAGGATTTTGTAAAAGAGATAAGCATTAGGATTAGGGTTTTTAACTCTCCAGACCCCACAGGAGGAAAATTAAGCAGGCATCCTTTGCAGAGGAACACTAATCGGACAGGGCAAATACAGCTACTGGTGTGTGTGTGTGGTGTGTGTGTGTGTGTGTTGTGCACGTGCGTGCTCACACATGTGTGTGCATTCATATAGGTGAGTGTTCATATGTAAGTAAGCATATGTGTGAATGTGTGTACATGTGTATGTGCACATGTGTGCACATGTGCATGTGCATGCGTGTCTGTCTGTATGGCTGAACTAGTGAACTGGCCTTTCCATGAATGAGAATATCTTATATCAACACCACTTCTAGAGTGCCAACCACAATCTCCAGAAAGTACCAACTCTAAGGATTAGCTTGCTCATTAGCAGGAGAGGAGGTCACACCATGCTAATAATAGTGATTATGATATCTTTTCCAATTTGTTTTGTTTAAATACTCGTGGGAGATTTTGATGAGATTCAAGCTCATTGGCATGAGTCTTGGGGTTTAGGTGTATGAGACAGACAGACAGACAGACAGATGTAAGTACTGCCATAGCTATAGACAATCTCCTGATGGGCTTGGAAAATACCAAGTTGGATCCTTGTGGTGCCAAAATGTGTCTGTGCACACCAAGAATCAACTTTATGTTGGCGTCTACTTGTTTCTGAGGTTGCAGCTGAGGTTTGCTAGTGCCTTTATCTCAGAACTGTCTGCAAAAACATCTAGAGTGAAGGACATCCCTCCTGGAATGCTTGTAATCCCAGTGCTCAGGAGATAGAAGCAGGAGGACCACAGCGTGACATCATCTTCTATTAATATAGTGAGTTCTAAGAGGTCAGCCTTGGATACAGGAGAACTTATAAGAACAAGTAGCCAATCCCCTGAACCCCATATTCTGGCCATGATTCATTCCAGAAATGCAGGGATAATTCAACATATAAAAATCTGTCAATGTCATTTACCGTATAAACAAACTGAAAGAAAAAAAAACACATGATCATCTCATTAGATATTGAACAAGCCTTTGACAAAATCCAACACCTCCTTATGATTAAAGTCCTAGAGAGATCAGAGATATAACGCACATACTTAAACATAATAAAGGCAATAAACATCAAGCTGATAGCCAATATAAAATTAAAAGGAGAGAAACTTAAAGCAAAATTCAGGGACAAGTCAAGGCTATCCGTTTTCTCCCTATCTCTTCAATATAGAACTTGAAGTTCTAGCAAGAGCAGTAAGACAACTAAAAGAGATCAAGGGGATACAAATTGGAAAGGAAAAAGTCAAAGTATTGCTATGTGCAGATGATATGATAGTATACATAAGCAACCCTATAAAAACTCTACTAGGGAATTCCTAGAGCTGATAAACATCTGCAGCAAAGTGGCTACATACAAAGTTAATCCCCCAAATTAGTAGCCCTCATACATACAAATGATAAATGGGCTGAGAAAGCAACAATATCCTTCACAACAGCCACAAATAATATATAAAATATCTTGGTGTAACTCTAACCAAGCAAGTGAAAGATCTGTATGACAAGAACTTCAATTCTTTGAAGAAGTAATTGAAGAAGATATCAGGAGATGGAAAAATCTCCCATGCTCATGGATCAGTAGGATTAACATAGAAAAAATGGCCAGCTTACCAAAAGAAATCAACAGATTCAGTGTAATTCCCATTGAAATTCCAACACAATTCTTTATAATCCTTGAACAATTCTCAGCTTCATATGGAAAAACATAATAACTCAGAATAGCTAAAACAATCCTGTACAATAAAAGATCTTCTGGAGGTATCACCATCTGCATTGCTTGTACTGTAGAGCAATAGTAATAAAAACCACATGGTAATGACATAAAAACAGACAAATTGATCAGCGGAATTGAACAAAAGACTTAGCAGTAAATCCACACACGTATATACACTTAATTTTTTTTAAAGGGGTGCACCACCACTGCCCGGCTTCATTTATTTATTATATGTATGTGAGTACACTGTAGCTGTCTTCAGACACACCAGAAGAGGGCATCAGATCCCATTACAGATGGTTGTGAGCCCATGTGGTTGCTGGGAATTGAACTCAGGACCTCTGGAAGAGCAGTCAGTGCTCTTAACCACTGAGCCATCTCTCCAGCCCTACACTTAATTTTTAACAAAGAGACCAAAATTACACAATAGAAAAAAGAAAGCATCTTTAGCAAACGGTGCTAGTCTAATTGGATGTCTGCACATAGAAGAATGCAAATAGATCCATATCTAACACCCTACACAAAACTCAAGTCCTAATGGATCAAAGACCTCAACTTAAAACTAGAAACACTATACCTGAGAGAAGAAAAAGTGGGGAATATCCCTGAAGACAACTTTCCTGAACATCAATCATACAGGCACTAAGATCAACAATTAATACATGGGACCTTATAAAGCTGAAAACCTTCTGTAAGGCAAAGGACACCATCAAAAGGACAAAATGATAGCCTACAGAATGGGAAAAGACTTTTACCAACTTCACAGCTGACAGAAGGTTGATATCCAAAATACATAAAGAACTCAATAAACTAGACATCAACAAACCAAATAACCCAATTTAAAAAATAGAGTACCGATCTAAACAGAATTCTCAACAGAGGAATCTCTAATGGCTGAGAATCACTTCAATAAATGTTCAACATCCTTAGCTATCAGGGAAATGCAAAGCAAAATGACTCTGAGATTCTGTCTTATACTGACCAGAATGGCTAAGGTAAAAATCTCAAGCGACGTCTTATTCTGTTGAGAATGTGGAGCAAGGGGAACATTACTCCATTGCTGGTGGGAGTGAAAACTTACACATGCAGCTACTTTGGAAATCAATTTGGTGGTTTCTCAGAATATTGGGAATCAAGATGCAGCTATACCATTCTTGAGCATATACTCAAAAGAAGTTCCACCATACCACGAGGACATTTGCTCAACCATGTTCATAGCAGCTTTATTCATAATAGCTAGACACTGGAAACAACCTAGATGTCCATTGACTGAAGAAAGAATACAAAAAATGGGGTACATTTGTACATGGTGTATTACTCAAGAATTAAAAACAATGACATCATGAAATTTGCAGACAAATTGGTGGAACTTGGAAGGATCATCCTGAGTGAGTTAACCCAAGCTCAGAGAGACAAACATGATAAGTATTCACTTATAAATGGATATTAGCCATAAAGTAAAGGGTAACCTCACTACAATCCACAGACCCAAAGAAGTCAAGTAACAAGAAAGGCTCTCGGGGAGGGATGCATGAATCTTACTGAGAAAGAGAAGTGGATGGGGGGAGAGAGAGAAGAGGATGGGGGGGTGGCTGGGAGGATGGAAAGAGGAGGAATGGGGGCGTGGCACGGAGGGAGAAAGTACTACAAGAGATAACTGAAATGGGGGTGGGTGGGTATTTCTTGGATGAGCTAGAAACTAAGGGCAATGGAAACTCCCAGGAATCTAAGAGAGTGACCCTAGCTAAGACCAGGGGAGCCCTTCCCTTTTCTGAAGCAAACAGGAGGAGTGGATGGGAGTGGGGAGGGGAAGGAGGGAGAAGGCCTGGGAGGGAGGAGGAAGGGAAATTGTGGTCACCTCAGGAGAGGAGTTCACAAAAAAAAAAAAAAATTGATAAATGAACAAGGTAAATGCAAATCATGACCTACTCTCTGGTATTTACATTATTTTTTGAAAGTTTCTGTAGTTTCAAAAATATATCAGAAAGTCTGGGTGGTGGCAGGCAGGGCAAGGGGACATTATTAGAAGGGGGCACTATGACTGTAGCTCAGTGGAAAGTCTATGCTTCAACAGGATGTAGAATGCTCTAAATCATGGTTCTCAATCTTCCTAAAGGTGTAGCTTTTCACTGCAGTTCTTTACGTGTGGTGATCCCCAACCATAAAAGTATTCCATTGCTACTTCATAACTGTGATTTTGCCACTATTATGAATATAGTAATGTCAATATTTATAATGCAGGCTATCTGATATGTGACCCCTAAGGGGGTCTCTACCTACAGAGAGTCCTTGGTATGTAGTCTTGGGATTTTCATTTCTTTCTTAGGAAACATTATAGTCAGGTAGACAGTGACCTTGTGCCACACAGAACAGAAAATAAAAGTGTAGAAGATACCTCCTAGAAGTGTAGCAGCTAGAATTTAGGAAACACAAATGCATATTTGCTGGGTCCAGTTGGTAAAGTTCTTCCCTATGAGGGGAGAGCTTAGGACTCCCCTTCTCCTGGTGCCTCCACACACAGGGCACGATGTCTGGACTGGCTTTGCTTTCACTGTCACTGAGGTTGCGCCAGATGTGTCAGGTGCTGAGTTCTCAAGCGAGCTGCCCTCATCGCCTGCCTTCTGCTGCTGCATTCACTGTCATGGTGTTGATGTTCTCTTCATGGTTCCAGGCATGAAAGGATGCATACTGGAAGACCCTATCGAGTGGAGGATGCTGGCAAATGCTGCCTTGAGGATGACTTGGTCAATCTTGAGGTCTTGGACGAGGTACTGAATTCTTAGACAGCTCTCATGGAGAGTTTCACATCTTGAGGTCCTGGATGAGGTCCTGAATACTTAGTAGACAGCTCTCATGAAGAGTTCACACAGGTGGTCTGGCCCTTCTCTGGCCCTTCTATGGTTGATTGCAGTTTTCTAAAGTAATTCAAAACTTTAATTGCTTGGTTAGCTATGGCATGATCACTATGACTTTGATCCTCTGTGTGCTTGTTTATAGTTTTGGAATGATGAAAGATTCTAGTAAAGCCCTTTATTTCACAGGCCTGACCAACAAAGCCCACCAACTTAAATTTATTTTCTATTTAATAAAAGATACTGTAGTTCACCCTGAAAACAGGTGTTTGTTCTTCATCAGGAGACATTTCCTTTACAAAGACAGTGGAGTAAACAGAGTTCAGATTTGAAATCTGGGAACTATGAGAATTCCTCATTCAGAATACTCGCCTTTGCTAGAGCTGAACCTCCATCTGTGGCTTCTAATCCTGGGGAACCCCAGCATCAATACCTCAATCACTAACCTGTAACACCACAGTGTTCAATTCTGTATTCCCACAATCCAGCAACAAGTGTTACTTCTGAGAAATGAAATTCCTAGGGCTGGAAAGACAGCTGTTAATAGCCTGAGCAACTGCTACTCTTCCAGAGGACTCAAGTTCGATTTCCAGAACCTGGAGAATCTGTTCACAGACAGCTAAATCTAATTGTAAATAGAACCTTCCAATTGAACAGAGACTGCCCCCCAACCCTGCACCCAGGAACAACTCAAATCTCTGTTGGCTCCCGCTATGCCTGTCAGCAACTCTTCTCTCAGCGCTTTCTAATCATTGAGTCTTTCCAGACACACGCCATCATTTGAGAGATTTAGAACCATTAAGACTCTGTTAAGATCTGAATGGGTTGTGTTAATCTTTTAGACAAATATTAGTGCAAGAAGCTCATTGCTACTTTCTGTAATGTCTTGTTGGCCATGTTACTCTCAACGATGTTTCCTCTCTTCTCAGGATACAATTATCTACTGGCTGCAGAAGCGGTATGCAGACGCACTGATCTACACCTACGTTGGAGATATTCTAATTGCCTTAAACCCCTTCCAGAATCTAAGCATATACTCTCCACAGGTATGAGGACCAGTTTAAAGCATTTTGTTCCTTCATGAGTGATTAAAAGTCGTAAGGCCAGGTCTGGAAGTGTAGTTCACTGGTAGAGCAATGGCTTAGCATGCCCATGCTCCTAGGCTCAAATCCACACAATGGAAAAAACTTAAATATGGAAATAAAATGAAGCAGCATTAAAACCATGTAGCCACTCTCCTGCCATGGGACTGATATCCGAAAGTATAGACAATAATTTAACATAAGTGGGGTTTTATCTTTGGGGAGAAACTTCTCAAAGCAAGGAGCAACAATTAAAGTTAACAATTGTCGAATGCTTGCTACATGCCAAACACTGGGTTGGCTCATGTCTGATCATCCTATGAGACAGAAAAGCTATGACTATTCAGTAGAGGAAGAGACAGAGCAGAGCAGTTAGCGCCCCTTGCCCAAGCTTGTGTATTCAATAACGGAAAACAAGGGTCAGAAGATAGGCCTGCAGACTCCTTCCAGTAGCAGCGAGTGCCCTAAGGAGAAAAGCCCATTTTTTTCTGGGTAATAGATAGTGAAGGCACTAGGTGGTTCAGTGGAGCATTTGAAGGGTCCTGTCAATGAGTTGTTTCTTTCCTTCAGTTTTCCAGGCTTTATCATGGGGTGAAACGTTCCTCCAATCCCCCCCACATATTTGCGTCAGCGGATAATGCTTATCAGTGTTTGGTTACTTTCAACAAAGACCAGGTAAGGACTTACCTTCCTCTCCTACCAGCTCACCAGAGAAGTCATGGTTCATCTCCCCCCCCCCCTTTTTTTTGTTTGGACCTGTAGTTGCTGAGGCTACACCGAGGAAATGGGAGATAAAATTGCTGTACAAGGGAACTGGAGGCCTGAGAAGGAGAAAACCCTTTTGAGATAACATAGCACGCATATCCAGAGCACTCATTTTCTCTCACAAAATGCAATAAAGACATTTCTAATATGAACATAATGAGAACATAGAACAACCACAACCCGATTACATGCAATGACTGTAATAAAAATGCAAGATATAATGGCATAAATGAAATTCCTTCCTATTAATATCTCAGAATCTTTATGACTAGGTCCCGTGTATGTAAAATACTGCACCTGCTAGACACTGGGTCCTGTATCATCTAGCTGCTAGGAAATTTGATGGGTTAGGGTTAAGACTGATAAACTTTAAGCTCAATATCACTTAAACGCAAACTTAACTCGTAATTTTTAATTGTCTAGACTTGTAGTTCACAGCGTGGCTTATTCTACTTTTGACCCCTTCTCCATTTGGCTAAGTTTATTTTCCTTTATTCCTGCATTCTGCAAACAAATAGAGGTAACTTAACTTGGCAAGAAAATTTTATGAGAGCTTACTATGCATGTATTTCCAGAGACCAAAGAAGTCTGATTTTTTTTGGGGGGGGGAGTCGGTTGAGCGTGAACAAATTAATAACTGTGTCTTAGTTACTTTTCTGTCACTTGATGACAGATCATCGTCAAGACAACTTGCAGAAGGAAGGGCTTCTGTGACTTACAGTTCCTGAGGCATAAGAGTCTGTCATGGTGGGAAAACAGCAGCAAACAAGCCTGACTGCCGCAGGAGCAGCCAGGAGCCCCCACCTGGAACTGCAAACACAAAGCAAAGAGAGCAAACTCCAAGTGGGTTAGGCATCTTTACTCCCACAACTCTTAGCGACATGCTCCATCAGCAAGACAGCACCTCCTCAGCCTCCCCAAACAGCACCTCTGACTAGGGACCAAGTGTTCAAGTGCCCTAAACTATGAGAGACACTTCTTTCTCAAACCACTGTACAACAGAACCATGGAACAGCACACTCGGGCTCCCTGATGACTGGAGAGGAATATCTCTGCCTTATTGTGGAGAGTTGCAAACTGTCCACAGGTTTCCCAGAGAAAATTAGTGGAAAGAGAGGACATGACTTCCAAATTTGCCTGCTGTGATTTTTTTGTTTTTATCTCTCCCCTTCCCCATTTTGTTTCTGACATGAAATTGTGTGTTTCCTAACACTAAACAGTTTTTCCAGGGTGCCTGACAATTCAGTGCAATCCTGACACACTCTGGAGTTAGCACAGACCCCACAGGTTATGGGTTAACGTCAATGAAACTGCTGCATGTCAGATGCAGGCTACAGATGGAATACCCAAGATACTCACAACTGTGCCAACCCAAGTACAAAATCAGGGGTTCCAACCAGGCTGGCTAATTCACTAGAACAACTCAGAGAATTAGGAAGAACACTAGATTTGTTTTTACTGGCATATCAGGATATAACCCACAACAGCAACATGGGAGATATGCTGGAACAGATAGAAGGAGCAGTGTCACAGATAGGAGAGGTGGGGACACAGAGGATCTTGCTTTTTTTCACTTGTGCCATCTCCCAGGACCTTCAATACATCAGTTCCAAAACTAACTGAATCTCATTTCTTTAAAACTCTTAAAAAAAAAAAAAAAACCTTGGAGATTCAATGGTTGAGAACACTGGCTGCTCTCCCAGAGGACCAGAATTCAACTCCCAGCACCAACATGGCAGCTCCCAGTTGCCTATGACTCCAATTCCAGGGGATCTGACACCCTCACACAGACATACCTACAGGTGAAACACCAAATATACCTAAGATAAAAATAAATAAATCATTAAAAATATTTTTATAATTCAGGGACTAAGTCCAAGATGAATACAGTCAAAGCACATGGTAGACTTGAAAGAAACTTTGTGAAGTCCAACTCTGTGTGCAGGGAATATATGCTAATAGAATATTTTGAATAATAAAATAAATAAAATGGTTCTTTTCAATACAAGTTTTGATTGAACTCAATTTTCAACCTCTTTGCCTTCCTGGATAATGGGAGGGAGGTCTGAAAGTTTCCATTCTCTGACTGTACATATTTTCTTTCTCAGTGCCTATCCTTGTCCTGAGATAGTTAGTTTGATTCCTACTTGGGACTACCTCATTCACAGCCAAGGTGTAGCCACTAGTGCTCTTCCTGAGCAGAAGATGCTCCTGTCTTTCCAGCACCAGTCGGGAAATTCCAAGAAGCTTTATGCCTGGAAACAACTACAAAGGCCAAACACATTGCTTTTATTCTACCTCATCACTGATTTCTTTTGTGCACAAAGAGTTCCAGGAAGCATTAAAAGAACATGGGCAACAGTATAATAAAAACAAGCCATGGCTATAAATAAGACCAAAAAAAAAAAAAAAAAAAAAAAAAGAAGAAAAAGAAAAAAATGTGATCAACCTTAAGCATCGGCAGAGGTTTGCCCTCACTCGTAATAAAAGAGACACAGTCTGAAACTGCACTGGATACCAGTTTTTACCTATCAGTTTGACACAAATCAATACACTGTGTGGTAAGGCCACAAGGCTACAGACTACTTTCTGTACGGCACTGCCTCAACTCCACATGCCCCATGCATGTTTCTCGTGTACCAGGCCCTGGATTGTGTACCTTTTCTAATACACCAGCCCCAACTCCACATGCTCTATGTATGTATGTCTCCCATGTACCTGGCCCTGGATCATATACCCTTTCTAATATGCCAGCAAACACAAATTGTCTCTCTAGTGAATTAGCCAGCTGCTATGGTCCTTAGCAAAGCGGTACAGTAATAGCTAACTTGTAAATACCTTTACCTTTTGATCAAATGTTACCCACTTAGAATTTATTCAGCAGATGACCCTGCATGTAGATACAATGATCTGTGTATACAATCATTCATTGGAATATAGTTTGTAACAAGAATAGACCAAACGACCCACAAGAATCAATTAACAATGGTACCATCAGACAGTGCTACATAATACCTTGCAATGACAGGCAGCTGTACCAGCTCTTCATATAGTGGGAAGAGTCCCAGGATAGAATGGCTGTTTAGTGAAAGATGGAGGCATATAGTGGAGGATGTTATATGGAAAACCACAACCCAATGCACATGTTGTTTCTGTGTGGTCATTCACTGAATTCTCCCTTGACTCTATTTTCTGTGTCAGTGTATTGTCATCAGTGGAGAAAGCGGATCGGGGAAGACAGAAAGCGCCCATCTGATCGTTCAGCATCTTACTTTCTTAGGAAAGGTATGGGCCAACCTGTTTTACATATCGTGACTAGAAGCCTCTGCAGAAGCCCTCATAGCAGAAGATAGTACTAATTTATTTTGCATCAGGAATTACCATAAGATTTCATCTTTTGTGTGTGTGTGTTTGCTTCCTGATAGCTAGGCTCTTAAGATGCCAGCATGCTGTCTTTATTTCATGTAGTGAGAAAAATACTACCAACATGGATTTACTAGACTGTGGGCTATTAATTATTTTGTGTGTTTTCAATGTAGTAGAAACATTGAGCCATTAAGTGGGAAAAGTGGTTAAACACTGAGTCAGATCAGGGGGAGCCACTGTGGCAATTAGGAAAATGGCAAGGGGAAGACACTGTGCAACACAGTTAAGGAAAAGGAACATTCCAGTCTTGACCCAGACATGGAAGGAAGGATTGCAAAATTAGTCAGGGAGTCGCCTGTAGTTGGCACTAGTGCACAAAGGAAGGGTTTGAGGACTCCTTTATTAGAGGTGAGGTTTATTGAAGGGCACAGTGGAAAAATTCAAAGATGTTGGTATTTAGAATTCTTTCTAAACTGTTAAGCAGTAAACATCTCTTAAAGATATCCTACACAATGCAGCCAGACTTTCAAACTACTACCAAATCTGGCTTTCTGATTCATAGCACCTCATGACTCCTTCATGTAAGAAACCCATGTGAGGGTTGATGCTAACTTTCCCAAAGTAGAGTTGCTTAGAGGGAGCCTGGGAGGAGTGTGGGGTAACATTATTGGAATGCTGCTTCTGAAGGCGCCTCTTGAACGCTCTCCATTCCACTCAGGCCAACAATCAGACCCTACGCCAGAAAATCCTCCAGGTGAACTCTCTGGTGGAAGCCTTCGGGAACGCCTGTACAGCCATCAATGATAACTCCAGCCGCTTCGGAAAGTATCTGGAAATGATGTTCACCCCAACTGGAGCCGTCATGGGGGCAAGAATCTCCGAGTATCTCCTTGAAAAATCCAGAGTTATTCAGCAGGCAGCGTAGGTGCACCTCTATCCTATCACCGTTTGCTCTGCCGATATAAATTTGGAGAATTTGGGAATTTTGAAGCTTCCATCTCCCCTTGCTCGTTAATCTTCCCAACTTTTTAAAGCAAAGGAACAGTGGTAGCTGATTGGCTTTTTAAGATCTAGTTTTGTCTTAGGTGCATGAGTGTTTTACTTGTGTGTACGTCTGTGCACAGTGTGAGTGCCTGTTACCCTAAGAGACCAGAAGAGGGCGCAAGATTCTTGGAACTAGAGTTATAGATGGTTGCAAATTGCCGTGTGCATGCTGGGAACCGTACTCAAAGCCTCTGCAAGAGCACCAAGTGCTTTTAACAGCTGAGCCAGCTCTCCAGCCCTTGGTGGTAGTTTTATTTTTGTTTTTGTTTCACCTAAAAGGCATTAAGGGGGGAGTGCCAAGGGCTGGGGGCCGTGCTTTATGAGTGGTATACCTGTTTCTCTCGAGTTGGTTGTATAAGGTAGAATAACACTAACTAATTTGCACATACCTTCAAGATCCACTTTATCCATTAAATGTAAAATTCTCAATAACAAAAAGTACTGAAAATATTCCATATATTTTCCTTTCACTTGGGAGAGAAAAGAATGTAATTATATTAAGTATTCGTTACCTTTTTGTTGCTGTGATAGAATACTATGATAAGAAGCAGTTAGGCAGGGCTCATTTTACCTTGCAATTCCAGTGGAGACACAGTCCATCATAGCTAGGAGAGCATGGTAGCAGGAGCATGGGGCTGGACGATCACATTTCATTGACACACAGGAAGCCGAGCGTGAGGACAGGAGATCTGGCCAGGCCGTCAAACCTCAAAGCCTGCCTCAAATGACGTACTTCCTCTAGCAAAGCTGCACCACCTGAAGGTTTCATAGTCTTCTCAGATAGTGCCACCAACTGGGGACCTAGTGCTCAAATATACAAGCCCACAGAAGACATTATTTAAACCACGACACTCTGTTTTAAGTAAAGCACTATCGTCATAGGTAATAGTCATCAATAGCATGTCCTTGGGCAGGTCACTGAACATTTCTGAGCCTCATTTGTGAAATGTGGATGCCACTAGCAATGGCCCCATGGGTTTGTTGTAAGACCCACAGGTTCATCTGTGTAAAATTACTTAAAAACACTCGAGACAGTGCATGTTAACAGTATTAGCCACTCTTATTATTACTGGTTTTGATCACTGCAGGACACCAGAGTTTCTCAGGAGCAGGGCTACATACACACAGCCAGTCAATATTGAATGCCTGCTATGTACCAGAGTAAACAAGACAGACAAAGTCCCTGAGCCCACGGTGTGTGTGGGAGGGGTGAGCGGATCACAATCGTTATAGGAATATATAAATCGAGCAGCTGTGATCAGTGCTCAGAAGCAATAGCTTTCAAGTAAGTTCTGGGAAAATAAACCAGTGAAGAGGGCACACTACCTGGTTCAGGAAGAAGAGTTGCATGAAGTTCACAGAGCACAGAGGGGTTCTATTTGTGATAAAACGCCATGACCGAAAGCAACTAAGAGAGGAAAGGATTGATTCTGCTAATACTTCCACATCACAGTCCAACAGCAGAGGAAGTCAGAATGTCACTAACAGGACAGACACCTGGAGGCAGGAGCTGATGCAGAGGCCAAGGAAGAATGTTGTTTACGGGCTTGGTCCTATGGTTTGCTCAGCCTGCTTTCTTACACCGAATGCACCACAGGCCAACATGATAGGAACATTTTTTTCAATGGAAGTTCTCGTTTCCTAAATGACTCTGCCTTATGTCAAGTTGACAAGAAACCAGAGACTAGGCAGTACACCTGGTGTCCAGAAGGAGAGATGGGTTTCCTGGATTTAAGATGTTTGATCTTAAGTCTGTGGATCACTTAAGAGTTAGCCAACACAATGAGGACAGGAGCGTAGGGAACAAGAGAGGGGCACTAAGATTGGATCACACGGGGCTTTGAACCTTTTCTAAAAGGCCTAGGAAACTGGAGGATGTTTTCAGGCAGGGGAGTGGTCACCACTAACTTGCATTTTGAAATGCTAGCTCTGGTTTCAGTCAGAAGGAGCCAGATGGGTAAGTGTGGTAGAGTGGAGAACAAGAGAGATGGAGTAGTCAGATCCTGGGCAAATGGGAGCCACAGGCCTAGGACTAGCTTGAGAATCTAAGCACATTTGTGGGTGTGGCTGGTAGAGTATGGCATGCTAGGCCTGATTTCCAACACACACACACACACACACACACACACACACACACACCCCAAAAATATCAAACACCGTCCTCCATCAGAGAATTTCCTTGCATAGTAGAAGCAGGTATGAACAGTGAACTTGAGTGGAGAGATGAAGCTACAAGCGTTTGAAGCTTCCCTGTAGCTTCTTGATCGCTTGGGTGAGTCTCTCTGTCTCTTCCTCCCTATACTGGCATGATTTTAAAGTTGAAGGTGCTGTCTTTGACAGAACGAACACTGTTGTGTCCTGTGTTCCATGTTCTTTGTGTGGAATGTTGCCCATTGATGTAAAAATTGTCTCACCTTACTTTCTTCTTGTGTCATACAAGGCTAATAACACCAACCTCCCAAGGTTGTTAAGAGAATTGAACGGGATGGAGAGAGGTGAAGGCTTCAAAATCCAGCAACATGGCTGCTCTGTCTGGAATACAGACACACTCTTAGTACACATCTTTAATCCCAAACAATGATGTTGTGCCAGGAAGTGTCCGTGAACCCCAAAGGACCAACAAGGAGCCAATTCTGATACAATCACATTATTCATAGGATCTCATTATTCAAGTTCAAGGTTGGGCCACACCACCATCTCTGATGCAGCAGAACAGGACAGGGCAGCCCTAAGCTTAGTTTCAAGCAAGCATTTATAGAGACAAGAAGGGGTTATCTAGCCTGACACACATCTGATTGGAGGGCCATTATGGCCTTTAACATAATTGGCTGGTGCTGGGAGCCAAACTATAAACTTTACTTGTGTTTTCTTCCTGATTGGTGATTGTTAGGAAGTGAAGTGTCAGGGGCAGGCTTGTAACCTGGAGGTGCAGATTTGTTGGGGAATAACCTGGAAACTAGTGCTTAGATGCAGGTCTTGTTGTGGGGTAACCTGGAAACTGGTGCTAGGTACCTACTAGTTAACTTGAGTTCAACTTTAGGTCAGGTTCTCTAAGATGGAATCTGAACCAAAAAATTTGGTCTCTCAATGTCTAATTGAGGGACAGACAAAATGACAATTCAGAGAAAGATTTGATAGGATACGCTCAACTCTCACAAGTACAGCACAGAAAGTAGAAGCTATTTTTGAAGAGTCAGTTCATTTCAGAGAGTTCAGTTAAGCTGAGTTGAAGTCAGTTCAGTAAGTTCAGTGCAGGTCAGTTGAGTTTAGTCAGTTGAGCTCAGCTCAGTCAGTCAGCACAGAAGTCAGTACAGTGGAGTTGAGTTGAGTTGAGTTGAGTTTGTGGAGTTAAAAGGCAGCTTTTAGCAGGACAGTTTTACAGACAAGTTACAGAGAGAACAAGCTAGACACAGATTAAAGCAGAACAAGCCAGAGAATGAGAAGGAGCCAGACGATTAGGATAGATTGCTAGAGTTAGTTTGAGGCCAAGCAGAACAACTCATTCAGAAGGTGAGAGAAGCCAGATTGAATCAGTCAGCTTGGAGAGGAGTTTGAGACAGAACACCTGAGTTGAACCAGCCAGCCAGAGTTCAGAAAGAGCTAGAAAGGGTGAGCTTATTCAGCAGTAAGCCTCCAAGACAACAATTGCATGAGGCGAATTAAAGTTACATTTACAGTGGTGGTTCTACCCTTTTCTGGGCACACTTGAGTATCCCATTTCCTGGTCTCCCATCTCTGGATGAGGTCTGACAAAAGTACATTGAATAAACAACCTTTCCGAGGCTGGCCAAGTGTAAGGCAGCCCTCTGAGCCCTTGTGTGCAGACTTCTGTCTCTGCTTCTTATCTCTCTACAACGCCTTACAATTCCTGCTCAGGCTTCAGGGCTTCATTCACTGTAGGGTTATTTCCCTGGAGTCTTTGCCTTGACTTGGCATAAGTGATTTCCATTCTCAACATTATTCTTTATCATAGCGCCCTGTTCATTTCTTTTAAAGCCCTTCTCTCAAGCTCCCCTCTTATCTAATTTAATCCTGTCTAGAAGGACTGCTCCAAAAGGGTGGGAGTCCTCTTAGAACTGTTTCTCTGGCACACAGCACAGTGCCTGCCATAAACAGCATCCAATACATTTATCAGTTGAATAATACCATTTCAAAATGATTTATGTGCATTTTGTGCCATACTGCATACTTAAATACACACAATAAAATTTATTTGAAATAATAAAAATTGCTTGACATGGTGGCATGCACCTGGTAATTCCAGTGCTGGGGAGGTTGAGACAGGAAGATCATGAGAAATTAGCCAATGGCTGGGATGTAACTTATTGGTAGAGTATTGCCCAGAAAATGAAATCCTGGATTCAACTTCTTGTGATGAAAAAAAAACCCAGATAAATAACACAATGAAATAATATTCTGTGAATGAATGAGGGAGAAATGGCAAGTAGAGGTATCTAGAACATAGTGATATAACATCCTGAACAGACTAAGGAGAGCAAGGATACCTGGGAGAGGATAAAGGGAAGACTGGGACAAAGCCATAGATGGGGAAGAGAGGCACACCAGGCTTCTTCCTATAGAATGAGTCTGGTAGGCAATAGGATTTCCTGCTGTAAGCATATCAACCTGAAAGACTCCCCTCTTCCAGAGGGCAGAAAGGGATCTGAGGCAGTACTTTCCAAAACTGCCCTCGAGTATGAGTTTCCAAAGCTCCCCATCCATAGTGATCTAGCAATATGATTTCATTATCAAAAAATGATGACGCTTTTGGTGTTTTGACACTGCCACTTGCTGCATGGTATCTAGGTGTGTGCTTCTCAGTTCCTTCTGTGTCATTTGCTGCCACAGTGAACACACTGGGCACCCTATCCAGGGTCGTTTAGCAGATGTGGGCAAGGAATAGAGAGACAGAAGTAAGAGCAATTGTTGCCCTTGCAGAGAACCCAGCTTTGGTTCCCAGCACCCAGGTAGTACCTAGCAAGTTTCTGTAACTCTACTTTCAGAAGTTCCAAAACCCTCTTCTGGCCTCCATGGGCACTATGTGCACATGATGCACAGAGACATGCCTGCGAAATATGCCCTACTCATTAAAAAAGGGGGAAAAAAGCAAATTAAAACAACAAACAATGTGGACAGCAGGAGCCGTTGGGGACTGAGGAATGGCATTTGTAGCAGTATCTGAAAACATACCACCTTGGGAGAATGCAAGCCTCAGCTCTGAAAGGAAGGCTTTCTTGATTGCTGAGGGCTTTCACACATTTCCTGCCTGAGGCTCCAGTAAAGCAGAAGCTTTACTCTCTCTCTCTCTCTCTCTCTCTCTCTCTCTCTCTCTCT